TTTATTAAAAAAGGTAATAATTTAAGATTTTTTTTATAATTTTATAAAATAGTATATTTTATCATTGATTATTAATTTATTTTTAATTTTTATTATTATTATTAATTATTATTATAATTTTATTAAGTAAAAATAATTGTAAATACTAATAACTATATAAAAAATTTTATCAAAAATATATAATCAAATTTAAATAAATATTATTAAAAAAATGAAAAAAATTTATGAAAAGGCAAATAGTTAATATAATTTTTACAAATAAAATTAATTGTTATAAAATATGTTATTATAGTAAATAAAACAATAATATCACAAATAATTTAATTTTGTTTAATAATATATTACTTCTTATTACTGATAATATTAATTATATTATTAATATATTTAAAATTTATTATTAATTATATTACAAATGAATATAATAATTATTTTACATATATTATAAATTTAATTAGAGAATATTAGATAAATTTTTCATTTTTTAATTGTTTGATATTATTATTTTAAATATTAAAGTATCTCTATTTTTTAAAATGATAATATAAATTTTAGTTCTAATATTATCTTATCATTATTGTCAGTAAAAATATGTTAATATAATTAGTATTACATAAAAGAAAACTTTGATAATAATAATCTAAAATATGATGATAATTTAAAAGAAATCATAAATATTATAAATGTTATCTAGATTATCTAAGTCATCTATTCTATTTATTTTATTTATTACTTTTATTTTATTTATTTATTTTATATATTTTATTTTAATATTTTTATTTCTTTTATCATATCAATAACTTTATATATTTTATTTTATATAAATAGAAAAGGTTTTTTTTTTATTTTAGCAATATAACTGAATAAAAATTTTTTTAGATAGTTTACTTTAATATTTCTAATATATTTATATAATATAGAATGCTAATTAAGATAGTGCTTATTTATTATTATTATTAAATAAACTATTTACCTATTAACATTCTTTTAAATCAATTATAAAATTAACCTTCTACTTACTATTTAACTATATTATATTATTTATAACTTATAAGTATTTTAAAGAACAGACTGTAATATTAGTTTAGATTTATACTTTAGCTTAATAATTATATTTCACATATTATACTATTTTTTATTGAAAAAGAAAAATTGGATAATAATAGTAAAACAGTTTATGATTTAACAAAAAACATTTTAAGATTAGATAGTATTTTTTAATCTTAAAATTATGATCTTTTTATTAAATATAATGTAAACTGATAAATAATTTTTAAATTAATTATTAAATTATATATTATAACATTAAGTTAATTTATTAATTACTTTATTTTATTTAATTTTTGTTTTTGATTTAGAATTTTTTAAAATCAGAAATAAATCTTTAGCAAGCTTTCTTGTAAATTATACTCAAGCTGCATTAGAATATAATGGTAATTTTATCAAAAATAATTACAAAATGTAATGATTGATTTTTATTTAGAAATATTTAATGTTTTAATTACCGATTTATTCAGATACAAATTAAACAAAATATTTTATTATATATCAAATATAATTGAATTTTAAAATTCTACAAATGTTTTATTGAATGGATGATTTACAGTAAATTAAAAGAATTAATAGGAGAATTGGATTTAGATAAATATTGAAAAGAAAAAAGTTTTAATAATACCAAATTTATCAAAATTAGAATGGATTTATATTTGGTTACCAGTAGCTGGAGTAGATATAGAACCCAGTTTTCTAATTATAAAAATATGTTTAAGTAAAAGAAAGAATGCGTCTTTCTGAAAAATCTATTTCAATGCTTTTATAACCAAAATAAATTGATGTTATTTTACATTCAATAATTTTACCTAAATTTAAAATTTAACAATTTTTACCAGAATTATAAACACATATTATCGCATATTTGATACATACGATATTTCCATCACATATTTCTGGCTAATTTTGACCATTTCGAACGAAATTATTTAGGTTCGACTTAATCTCGGTTTCAGGTTTAGTTTCCCGAGTTACTAATTCAAAGAACAGCTATGATTCCGCCTCCTATTCAACGTGGTATGATAGTACTCAACCGAGAACTATTTCGACACGAAGTTAACGTTGTTGGAATACGCGTTCCTACAAGCTCAACAGCAAAGTTCTTGAAAGTTTTAAATAAGTAAGATCTAAAAGTATGTGTTGCCAACTTGGAGAGTTTTTTTAAATTACAAAGTTTTTTTTTTATGCATTAGAGAATTATTCAATCAACCAAAGCTAAGAAATGTTGTGGATGATCCTGGATCCAATTTGTCAAAAATTATTTTAATGAACCTAAACGTCCAAAGCTTAGGTATTGTTATTTTATCAAAAATATTATAGAAAAAAAACATATTAAAAGAGTTTACTTATTCTTCGCTGTAATTGGTCCAGATCTTGATAATGTACCAAATGAAATGAAAGATTTTATCAATAAAGAAGGACTCGGTGTCGTAAGGCATTTAGTCGAATTAAAATATGACTATTGGGGAGTTGGTATATATCCAGATTCAAAAGTTGTTGGAATATTTTCAATTTTATAATAAATAATGTAATTTCGATTAAGATGATATACTCAAAGCTATATTACCTGAGAACTCTGAATCTCCATCATCTTTTACACAAGTTGGACATATTGGTGAGTTAATTTCTTCAAAATATTAAAACAAGAAGTTTCTCAATTAAGAAATTGATATAAATGCTACTTTTAATAAAGCTCATATGAATTTACGAGAGGAATTCCTTCCTTGGAAATTTCTTATAGGCCAAGTCATTCTTGATGTAAGGACAAATTTGGCAATCTTTAATAATTGTGTAAAACTAATGCTCATTTTTCAATAAATTTTTAAAGAAAAATCCAAAAATCATGACAGTTGTGAACAAAACCGATATGATTGATTCAACATATCGATTTTTTCAAATGGAACTTTTGGCCGGAAAAAATAATATGATCGCTGAAGTGGTCTGTCTTAAGTAGCAAGTATTTATTTGCAAATGAGAAGTATAATTATGTAAACGAAATAATAACCATTTCTAATTGCATTTTCATTTCTATCCATATAGAAAGAAAGTAATTGTAGATTTCGATTTGATTTCTCACAAGTATATTGGAATTCACGATTACATACTGAACACGATCGGTTAGTAAAGATGTTTCAAAAAGGAGATTATATATGTAAGTAATGTTTTTAACATATTTAATATATTTGTTTAAGACAAAATTTTATAGTTCTTATATTTATAGGCGATGTTTTTGCTGGTGTGGGACCTTTTGCAATCCCAGCTGCAAAAAAAGGATGCATTGTTTACGCGAACGATTTGAATCCCGTGTCATATAAATATCTTCAGGAGAATATTTCATTAAATAAAGTAAATATAATTTATTCAAGAAAAGGAAAAATGAAATTCATTGGTTTATTTATTGATTTGTATTTGAAATTATAGGTAAACAGTAAAATTTATCCATATAACCTTGATGGTTATGATTTTATAAAAAAAGCCGTACAAGATTTGGAAAAAAGTCTAACCGTTGTAGTAGATAAAACCACATCATCTAAATCAGAGGATTTAGTAGCAAATCAATCCCCTGAATTTCGAACATTTAATCATTTTATCATGAATTTGCCTGCAACAGCTATAGAGTTTCTAGGTAACCAATTAATTTGTTTCCTTTGGAGTGTACACTCCGATTTACTTAAATTAATTTAATTTGGATTTCTATTTGTAGATGCTTTCAAAGGACTTTATAAAGATAAAGAATCTTTTATAAAAAATCCTCGCGTAGATTTACCAATGATTCATTGTCATTGTTTCTCAAAAAGTGAATTTCCCGAAACAGAAATAATTAAGGTATTTTATATTGATAATATTTTAATTAAATTCTTCAAATTGTCACTTGATCTTTTAACCCATCTTTTTTAAATTTTTAGCGTATTAATTCAACAATAACATATCCAATGCAAGCAGATAAATTTAAGGTTCATTTTGTTAGAAAGGTTGCACCAAATAAAGATATGTTTTGTGTTAGCTTCAGGTTAAGTCAAGAAGTCGCATTTGCTATCGAGAGGTAACTACCAAGGTTATATATAATACATATTTTCTCTTGTATTTCACGCGCACATTAATATTTACATTTTACTATTAATAATAGCACCAAAAATAAAGGTGATTTGGATGAAGTTGATACTTTATCACATCAAGCAAATTTTGAGAAATCTAACGAGCAGAAGTTGGTATCCAAAAGAAGAAAAATAGAATGAAATCAAATAATTAAGTAGTTTTAGTAACACAAATTATGGCATAATTTAAATTTCAAAAAATTCACATGCCAGTTGATTGAGCTTTCTTTAATTGATAAAAAAAATATTATAAACCATTTTAGAAGGGATTCAACTCAATCTAATTGATATAATATTTATTTATAATTAAGAAATAATAAAAGAATATATACTAGGAAATTTTCTAAAAATATTTCTAACATTTATATATAATTTTTTTTACAACTTTAATACTAATAATTACTACGAAACTTTGTATTTATATTATTATATTCAAAACTCCATAAATTGTAATAATGGTTATAAAATAATAAATAAAGCATCAAAAGTTAAAATTTGTATGTATATATAAATGGTTTTATGGTAACTCTCTTAATAAAGCTTTGCAGTGATCATCAAATAAAACAATAAGACGATTGTAATGCACAAATAACAAGCAAAGGTTTTTTTTTTTTTTTTTTTTTTTTTTTTTTTTTTCACTTTCAAATTTATATACTACGAGAATGAAATTAAGACTTTGTTTTAAATCACATTATCGTTCTTAATGCTAAATATTTAGCAATTGAAAACAAGATAAAAGACAAAAACAAAATAAATGTTCTATAAAGTGCATATTAGACAATAAAAATAATGTTCATTAAATGAAAAGTGAATCCAAGCTTTTAAACCATATATCTCCATCATCAATGTTTCATGACTTTATTGTTGAGCACATTGTACGCTTGGGCCATGACCCTCCTCTTCATCTTCAGCACCATTCATATGAGTTGATGCTGAACGTTGTTGTTCATCGTTCATTGCCATTAATTCAACTTCTTCTGTGTTAGCATCATTAGGAATTGGCAACGGTTGCCGCGCGGGTAAAATACTCTCGAGTGACAAGATATTTTGTTTATCAGTCCAATAAGAAGGCGGGAATTCTATCTCAAATTGTACAAAGAGTGTACCATAGTCGTGATGACGATATGATGGCATTCCATGTTGAGGAATAGATTTTAATTGTCCTATTGAACAAATTATTATTATTTGACTTCATTGGAAATAAATTATGTAATATAATAATTGAACTCAAATTTAACTCACCAGGTTTTATAACTTCACCCGCATCAATATTGACCACCAAATACTTTTCATCAAGATGTTTAACCATAAATTGACCACCTGCCAATGCTGTCAGAAGGTCTATCTTTGCTGTAAAATATAGATCGTCCCCACGACGTTGGAAACGTTCATGCGGTTTTTCTTCAATTTGAATTATCACATCACCAGGTTCAATACCAGGACTTTGATCTGCTTCACCACTGAATGTAATCTCTTGACCATTCCTCATACCTTTATCGATATGAACTTCAAGTACTTTACGTTCATTAACAATTTTTTTACCTTGACAGCTTTTACACTTGTCTTTTTCACGAATAACCTCACCTTCACCTCCACATGAAGGACAGGACTGTTGAATTTGCTGTACCATAGGACCCAAGGTTCTCATGATAATTTTTACACCAGTACCATCACAAGTTGAACATTTTTTGACAGAACCTTCTTTACCACCTCTACCCTCACACTTTGAGCAAATTACATTTTTGTTAAGAGATAATTTGCTAGTCTTTCCACTATATAAATCTTCTAAAGTTACTTTGAGTACATGTTTTAAATTTTTGCCTTTTCGTGGTCCCGGGCGTGGACCTCTTCCAAATACATTTCCACCGAAAAAGCTTGAGAAAAGGTCTTCGGCTGACATTCCACCCATTCCTCCATCATTTGATAAACCTTCTTCTCCAAATTGATCGTAAATATCTCGCTTTTCTCTTTCAGAAAGAATTTCAAATGCATGTCCAATTTCTTTAAATTTATCACCCGTATCTGGATTCTGTAAAAAGTGTTTAATATGGTTAATTGGTGATATTTAAAAGTATATAAAGCAGATCTCTTTTCGACTTTGAAATTACGGATGTTATAGTATTCAGTTCGCCAAAATAAAAATTCGTATGAATTTCTAGAATATATCGAACTACTTAACCTATTTTTTTAATTAAGTGAAAAAATATATATATACCTTGTCAGGATGATATTTGAGTGCTAGTTTCCTATAAGCCTTCTTTATTTCTGCTTCTGAGGCATTGGGAGCAACCTCCAAAATATCATAAAGTTTAGTGTCCTTTACCATTCTGTATAATTAAATTGAAAAAGTTTTTTTATTTAAAAAAAAAAAAAAAATATATAGATATATTTTATATGTAAAGACTTTGTTTATTAGAAAAAAAAAAAAAAAGAGGAAAAAAAAAAAAAAATTTTTTTAATATTTTTATATGGATGTCCAACAGGAATATTCTAATTGTTTCCAGCACTTTCTTTATCTTTTCGCCATATCTGTATGGTTTACTGCGGATGTATAACTGTCAAAAGGATTTGAATCTCCATTTAGTAATTTTATGGACGGGGTTTGATTTTATCTACGACTACGAATGGTTATTAGGTAATATTAGTATATTGAAGTTTAAATGTCATTTTAATATTATTAAAATTATTAATAAAAAAAAAAATAAAATTTATAAATATGCAAAATTGTAGCTTTATAAGATTTATAAGATTTATATTAAAATTTTATTAAATATTAATTTCTTTAAAATCTATTAGTAAAATTATATTATCATTAAATTTTCTATATTCTTTTACTTGTATTTTTTAAAAAAAATATAATAATAGTTTTAATAATTAAATACAAATAATAATTTAATATAATCTAAAAAAATTAGAATTATTTGTAAAATAATTATACAATCTAAGTTTTTTAACATCAAAATTTAAATCTTATTTATCCTATTTTTAAATAATTATATATAAGAATATTTTTAGTAAAATCAAATTATTAAATATAGTAAATTATATGATTATAATAATTTTATTGACAATGCATCTATATAATCCAAATAAAAAAAAATATTTTAAAAACTTATTATAATTTGGGGTCTTTGCAATAGAAAGGGAGGAAACTCCAAAAAAATTAAAATTTTAGTTTATAAGCCAAAAATGTTCTAAATACTATAATTTGTTCAGATTTATTATTAACTCATTTTTTATTTTTTTTTGAGTTTCCTCCCTTTCTATTACAAAGGCCTCATTTAATAAATTAATTAAAGAATTAATATATAAAATTTATATATATTTTATTTTAGCAAAAAATTATAATATATATTATTATTCAATTTATGATTAGGTTGAATTAATTTAATCAATTGAATAATAAATAAGATTTAACTTAAACTTCTCAATAAATTTAGAAAAAGCTTAAATAAAATATTTTTTACAAAGTAAATAAATATACATTATATATTTTATATAAAATTATTTTAAGATACACATTATTAACATTACTCTTTTTTCGAATAAGTTAACTATGATTTGAAGTTAGGGAGGCAATAACTATAACTTAAATCCAATTAACTTGATACACTATTTATTAAAAAGTTTGTTTAGTTAACAAGAATAAAATTATAAGTTTATGTTTGCAAAAATGTTAATGTTATTTATTATTATTATTAAAGATACACTTCCTCCAAAAAATATCTGACCACTTGCTGATCATTTACTGATCATTTAAAATTATAGCTGATTTTGACGTTTATTACTTAACAATTTATTAATAAAATTTTTACAAAATTTATATA